CAAACCCCGCGGCCGTGCCGGGGCGGAGCCGAGGGCGCTGCCGGCAGGAGGGATGTGCTCTGTGTCTCCTCCCGGCCCCAGGTACGCAGCCGTTCTAACAGGGCTGTCTCGGCCGCCCGCCGGTAGAGCAGACCACTGCTGCTGTCGACGGAGCACTCTGGGTTCATTACTCCCCCCGACGAGGACAGCCTCCAGCCCAGTCCTGTCCTGCCGTCGACACCCACCGTGGGGCGCGCGGGGGCGTGTGGGGTGAGGGGAGCCCGGTGCCGGCGCTATAAATCCCTCGGCAATTGAGTTCTGCACCTTTGATTTGGAAAATCGGATTCTTTGAGTGGAAACAGTTGACAGGAACTTAAAAGGATTAGCTGCATTCCACACAGGATCATTTTTACTCCTAACATTTTGAAACGATTGATCCCTTCCAGACCATAAACAATGTCCAGAAAAATGATCTAACGAGACTTCCATTGTTTCCTTTTGTCTACGAATCTCCCTTTCACCAGCAGTTTGATTAGGGATCAAATCAGCCTTTGACAGGCTGGATTGTAATCACAGACACATTATGCACACCGTTTTCCCGAGATAAGTACCGAATTTGAAATAGTTCATCATTTGGTCCGTAATCTCAATCTGCCAGAAACCTAGCAAATGCGGAGAAAGGCAGGTTGGGGAAGAAGGAGCAGCGAGAGCAGGAGGGAGAGGAGTGGGAGTTCAATTATCACAGAATGCCGAAATGAGAGGCGGGGGCATTTCCCGAACTTCTCTTGCTGGCTTTTGTACCGGCCTGGCAGAAGAAAGAGAAGGAGAAGGCCCACAGGTGCACAAACCTGCTCGGAACATAGAGGATAGAATACAGGACGCACGGCCCTGTTCCCCACCGTGGCCCGAGATGACTCGAGATACGCGGGCTCTGCTTTGTCCCTCTCCCCTCCTCTTCCCCTCCCGTCTGAGGGCAGGAAAGTTAACGCGGAGACATTAACGGGGGAGGGAACGAGGAGGCCCTGCCCTGTCGTGTTGACCGGCCGACTTTTCCTCTGTTTTGACACCTGCGTGCACTGCCCTATGCTCCTCTCCCTGATTTATCGCCCAATTAAAGGTTCAGCCTTCCTCGAACCACCCGTGCTGCCTCCCCTCGACGGGTCTCCGAGGGTGACGTCTTCCCGGAGACAGCACGGGAGGTGATGGGTCGAGGTGACCGCTTTTCGGCCCCTTCTGTTTCTCTTCCTTTCCCTCCTTATCTGTGTGTTCCCCGGGCCCCGTATCCCAGGAAAGAGCCGGCAGAGCCAGAGTGGTGTCCAATGGGCCCGGGACTGTGCCGTGCAGCGATGAGTGCTTCCAGCCCAGATCGGGGGAAAACTCAGCCAGGAGAAACACCTCAGTTAAGTCTCCCCTTCAATTAAGAGACAGCAGCTCCTTCCCGTCGAATTTCTCTGGACTTGTTCTTCCTATCAGGCTCTTCTTTCTTCTTTCTTCTTTCTTCTTTCTTCTTTCTTCTTTCTTCTTTCTTCTTTCTTCTTTCTTCTTTCTTCTTTCTTCTTTCTTCTTTCTTCTTTCTTCTTTCTTCTTTCTTCTTCTTTCTTATCTCTCCCTCTCTTGCTTCCTTTTTTTCCTTTTTTTTTCTTTTTCCTTTTTTCTTTTTTTTTTCTTTTTTCTTTTTTCTCTTTTTTCTTTTTTTTCTTTTTTCTTTTTTTCACATTTATCTCTTTTTTCTTCACACTGAGAACAAGCAGCTCCTCGGCACATACTGGTAGCATTGAGCATCTTGCTAACTTAACTGCGTATTCCTTGTATCTATCAATCCACCTTTCTAATTAGACTAATTAGAAGATATGTGGAGTGTTGCTGGGTCCATAGACTAAACTGCTTAGGGCTTCTGAAAGGAAAGCTGAATGCCCGCCATGGGAGGTGGCCATTCAGGGGTACGGTAACAGTTGCTACATTTATCTCCCGCTATTGAAAAGAGCTCTGCTTAAAGCTCGATTAAAATGTTTGGAAACTAATGCCACCCTGGATCCCTCTCTAATTAGAGGGCCTGGATAGATCACCCTGAGCAGTCAAAAGGAACTCCTTCCCGGGCTTGGCTTTTCTGTTCCGCAGAATTTCTTCTTTCCCCACAACCCCGCCCCCACGTCCAAAAGAGAAAGAAGCGGGGGGAGGGAGGGGGTTGAAAAGAAGAGGAAGATAACGGAGCTATAAAAAGGGGGGCAGAGAAATGGCGCTATGCCAAAGTCATTCTCCCCAAGCGTTATGTTTGGTCCCTCCCTAAAGGCAGGCACAGGCTCTTCCTCCTGGATTCCTTTTCAGTGGTCGGGATAGCTTAAGGCTGGGCAGCTCCTTCTCCGCTGCCTGCTGCAAACCAGTCAGGAGGTCGGGAAGGGGAAAGAAAGGCCGTCGCCGTCCTCCTTTCTCATGCACAGGTGCGGAGCGTGTAGACCGGCTCCCTTCTCGCCCCACTCTCCTCCTCGCTGTGCCCCGCCGGCCTTGTTCAGAAAGAGCAGTGCAGTAAGAAAGGGGAGGATGGAGGGTGGAGAAAAGTCACCCACGGAAGTGACGGCTCCTGTCCCCCAAACGTTGCCTGCAGGAAGCCCAACGCAGAACAGCACTTTCCAACAAGCCGGGCTGAGCCGAGGAAGGACGATTGGAAATCCTTCCCCGGGGTACCCTGTGCCTCCTGTGCCTCAATCTCTTATCTGAGCACACCGCAGAGCACCTCAGTACGCACACAAGCATTTCTGTGTTCCCGCGGGGTCTGCGGAGGGGCGTGGGCAGCCCTCGGGTCGCTCTGCTCCCGGGAAAGGCAGCCCAGCACTTCAGCGTCCGGCATCACGCGAATTTACTGCGCTGTTCCTTCCCCGTACGACAGAGACACATTTTATCCTCATAAAGGGGAACTAACGATTGGTACCGGCAGGGGAAGGGATGAGAAGGATGGTCTCTTCATTAACACAACCCTGTTACACAGATGACTTAATTTACGGGATAGGTATGACCAAAAGTGCCTCACACTCATGACTTGGCAGGCGACGAGCCTGCGACAGCTGGGTCTGGCCCCGGGGAAGCGCACCGTGCCAGCAAACAGGGGTGCAGCAGCGGCCCCGTCAGTACCATCGGGTCGGAAGGGGTTGGTGGTGTGAATTTCACCCTGTGGCCTTTGGTGATTACAGCGTATCAAGTATTGGCAGCAGAGAATAAAGTCGGGATTTAATTTGTTATTATTATTATGTTATTGTTGTTGTTGTTGTTGTTGTTGTTGCTCTTCTTGTTGTTGAGAACGATGCGATGGGCATTCTGAATAAACTGTCCAATCTACCAGGGAAAAATATCCAAAATATCCACATCCCGTTCTGCCCGTATTGTCCCAGGAGATGCCCCTCTGAGCCTCTGGCAGGTGGGATCTCCTGAGAGAAAGAAGTACGGGGGTGGCAGGCACAGCAATCTAGTTGAGATCTTCCTTTTCTTTCAAGCCTCCAGAGCCACCTTATCTTGAAACCTTGTGCAGCGGAGGGGAACAGGAGGGTATTGAGAGGATCTGCTCCTCTTCGTCCCAGTCATCAGGCGACGTTACCAGAGGGGGAAAGACTAGCTCGAGAGCCGGATGAGCCGGCAGGTGGGAAGCGGGGTGACTTCACACAGCAGGCAGTGTCTCGGCTCTGCCGCTCTCTTCCTCGGCCAGGCGGGGGGCTGCTCACGCTGTACCATGTCTAATCCCAGTGAACTCAACAGGACGAGTAACAAGGACGAAACCGATCAAATATTTCCCTTAGGGACATACGGGGAACCGCTCACGCTGTATCATGTCTAATTCCAGTGAACTCAACAGGACGAGTCCCAAGGACAAAACCGATCAAATATTTCCCTTAGGGGCATAGAATCTACTTTATTTTAATCTTCCCCCCCCCCCCTCCAAAAGCGAGTCCACATCAGAGAACAGATTTTTTTTTCGACTGCAGAGAGCGCATCTCTTAATAAAATATTCTCAGAGGATCTCACCCCTGCTCCACTGGGGACTGCGGGTTGAGAGGACTCCCTTACGACCCGCCTGCGGGATTT